TCTCCAGATGTTGGGGATATCTCCAGTGTTCCCAGCTGTTGATTAACTCTCTGTAAACTAGTTAAAAGGTCTATCGAGAGAGAGAGAGGCTGGGCAGAATTGATGTGGCAACCCACCCGTGCAGTCAGAACCTCTGGCTGCTGTGAAATTCTCCGGCCGATACTTGTAATAAACCATCAGTGTTTGACATCAAAACTCCAACTCTCCTCGTGTCTCTCTGAGTCCTGACTCTCCAGTGCGACAGAAGTTTCCCTTACAATCATCAGAAAAATTCCCTCTGTGAGCTTTGCTTTTTATTTCATGTAGGATCCCTCTTAGTTTATATCCTTATAGTAGTACATGCTTACTATACTCACTTTTTTACGTAAACTAATTTCCTGAACCATGGACATTAAATTGTATGTTCCCATAACTTTTCCGTTTCAAATCACACTGTGACTAAAACTACTTGAGCTCCGGCGGTCCAACAGAGCTAAAAATAGAACAACTCATTAAAAAGGCAAATCTGTACGCGAAGCATGCAAACTACAGGTGGAGGAGGGAGTCGGACTGAAGGCTGGGGAACAGGGAGGAACACCAGATCGTGATGAACTCACATGACAGCACCAGAGGAACTTTGGGTCTTTCATCAGCGCGTGCTCAGTCAGCTTTTTATGGAACATATCGTACACGCCTGGCTCAAGGCAGCCCCGCAGCTGGGAAAACAAAACATCAAAAACGTTCAACAATTAGCATACATCTCATTACCAATGTACTAGTATACTACTTCCCTACTGTCCCTATTACTCCCCCCCACTCCTTTATATCCTGTAGGGTTAATCTATAGAGAATGCTAAATATTCTCAACGATCATCCAATGTTTGTAGCTTTGTGAGAACTTAAACAGCCCTGTTTTCAGCGTCCGAGAGGCTTTAAATGCTGCTGTATTTCATGTATATACTGTATGTTAAAATCACGGTTAAATCATGATGGTGGAGTTCTTTTGACATAATATAGAGAGAGTTCATAATTAAAACAAGACAGTTTTGAAACCTGAAGTGAAGCGGCCAAACAGGACTCTTGTTGTAAACAATGACGTCATCATGTTTCTCTCGCCTGGTACCTGTATGTCCAGTGTGGAAAAGTAACTGTCCAGCTGTTCGGGGTCGTTGATGTCCGGCTCGCTGCAGATGGGACACACCATGTCTCTGATGTGTTTGTCTCTCACGGTGATGTTGAAGTAGGACCCGAAGCATTCGTGGCACACGGAGCACTGACAGGAAGTCAGGGACTGCATCTGGAACACGGAGAAGAAGAAGAAATAAGTAAGAAATAAAGAAAAGTAAAAGAAAAGTAAGAAATAAGTAGCTGACAATTATGCAAAATGCTAAATAAAATAACTTGAATATATTTCTAGAAAAGAAACAAATGTGTTTCTTTCTTTTAGCTCTATTATTGCTTCACCAAGCCATTCAGTGTTTTGGTCCATATATGATTTAAATTAGAAAAAGTAATGTATTTAAAGAAGTTGACAAGATAAATATCATTGAATGAAAATGCAATGTGCTGTATAAGCGTCTTAGTTTGAGTTTTGATTCCCCACAGTCCGCACTGTTACACTGTGTCTGAAACCTCTCGACCCTCACCTTGCTGCGGGGGAAGCTGCTCAGACAGCAGGGGCATTCGTTCTTGAGGACACGCCTGATGAAGTCCTTGTCTTGGGACTCCTTCACGGCCTGCACCACGTCCTCCAGAGTGTAGGTGGCGTCGGGCTCCTGCAGCAGCGAGAGGACCAGCTCGCAGCGCCCCCAGCTGGGCAGCTCGTACAGCGCCAGCAGACGCCTGCACATCCTCTGCGGAGAGATTCAATAGCATGACATGAAGACATGTGATTTACTGGAAATGCTCACTGAATGCCCTCAGGTGTTTTGCAGCCTAACCGGTTTGTCCGGATCTGAAGGATCTATTGGCGGCTCGGCCTGGTTGGCCCAGATTCGCCGGTGGAAAGGCTCCAGCAGGGGGCGCTGCAGCAGAGACAGAGCCCCCTTCACCTCTCCTCCACTCAGCCGCAGGGCCTCCTCACACTGCAGCGCGTCTCTGAAGCCCAGAGAGTGCAGCTCCTTCATCTGTAACACGCAGAGAGAAAATCGGATTCGTTTCATATGAACGTTATCTTTTTCTCTCTCCAGGAGACAAACTTTGTGTCTCCCAAAAGAGATTTAAAGTTTGCTGGTTAAGGAGGGTTTGACAACACTCCTACACATCACTCCCAACTCACCACAGACCGCCTTTGTTCTGTGTTATCGTTCAAGGTCGTAAAACCAGGAGAGGAGTCCGGTTTTCTCAAGCTTTTTATTTGACCTCTTTGCAGTCACTGAGTACGGTATATGTATTTGACAGTGGCGAACCGTGTCTATCACAACTGGACCTTCTGTAGACACACACACACCCCCCCCGAAGCCGCCGCCCCCCCCCCCCCCTCCGCGGAATTATAATGTCCGTCTTTTCATTGAATTGTCGTCTTGAAAAGGGTACTCACAACAATTCCGCAACAACTTCATCTTCACCTGTTGCACGTTAAAAACAATAAAACGGCATGAATTGCTTCGTCGCATTCATCTGATCCTCTGTCTCGAGCCAGTTAACTAGCGGGTCTTCTAGAATACCCTGGAACCGAGGGAAACTCTGAAAGAACACGCCCATTGGCTACAAATCAATATATGATTGGTTGATCAAACTGTCAGTCCAAACGTACGCTCTCATTCAGTGCAACGGCCAGGGCATTCGATCAAGGATGTAGAATACCTTGGTTGAAGGATGTTCTACCCAGAGACCCAGAACAAGATCTGATTGGTTGCTTTTCTTATCTAACACAAAACCACTGAAATGCGTAGTGCATGGTCCGAGAAGGACAAACAAATCAACGTAACACTGTAATATTACAGATCAACAACACAGATACGATTATCATTTATTCATTTTATTACATTTTATTTCTATAATTAAATCGATTTTTTGTTTGTTTTATCTGAGTGTTCCAGGGTATTCTCTGAATACCTTGAAGGCCCTGACGGTTCACCACTGGTAAATTGTTGTACTTATGTCTTTCTCTAATCAGACAAGAAGTGTTTATCTGGATATTTAAAGTATTTCTCTGGCTTTGTGTCCAACAGTATAGTGAGTGTGAAGGAGACTCGTCTGACCTCGCTGGTGGCCAACATCCTGATCGGCCTGTCTGCCTTCATGCTGCCCATCCCTCTGCAGTGGATCCCCAAGCCTGTCCTCTACGGCCTCTTCCTCTACATCGCAGCCACGTCGCTTGATGGGAACCAGATGGTGGACCGCATGGCCCTGCTGCTAAAGGAACAGGTGAGCAGCAAGGACAC